ATGGCATTCATACAATTCTATGATGATATCCTTATGTCCCTGGCCAGTGCAGTTATTGTCCGTCATTAGTGATGATAAGATACGTTACAAATTCAAGCAATCCATTCCAATGGGATAAGAAGTTTTGCTGGTTCTTCAGTTTTTACAAGGAAGATATTCAGTTACCACCAAATTTGAAAGTCATCACCTCTGCTTTTAATAATTCATCATTTCCGAGAGCTTGTACTTAAGGCTGTACTGGGTAGCTTCGGTTTGGCTTATGCATGAAATCTACACTTCTATCTTGGCTACGAGCACAGGTTCTTTTAGGCTTGGAATAAATCGAGTTGTGGACATTGAAAGCGAGACTCTTTTAAGATATCTTTTTCTTAAAATACCAGCTCACTAAAAGTGACAGCGCTGAGATAAGAATTATGAAAAAGCCGTTGTGTAGATTAGTTGAAAGCCTTGAATAGCTATAGATGACATCATAAGTTAACCTGAATGGTGGACAAATATGGACTGTGCGATTGTGGATTAGAAGAATCGTTGGGTGTGGTACGATGCTTCTAGGAAGCCAGCCTCACGACAAATCTTCAGAATTTGTTCGTGCTGTTCCGCTTTGAAGTACTCGGTTAATCCAATCAATGAAATGTCGTATGCAGGGGAATATTTAATTTGTTGTTGCTTGATGTTTTATTTCGTTGTTGTTTTGTTGTTTGTTGTTCTTCATCATGCATTTTTATTTTCGTTGTTTTGATTTGTTGTTGATCTGTTGTGGTTCTTTGATGTTCATCATGATTTGTTACTGTATTGTTCCGTTTAATCGTGCATTCTCCTAATAGCGTATACCTACGTTGCTTAATATTGTGTTTTTGATGCTGTTGCGCTGCGGATATCGGAGAGGGGCACTGTTCGGTATAATTCGGCTGCGTTTCGGGAATGAGACAGTATCGTAATGCTCGTTCAGGCCCGTAAGGAACCATCGAGACAGACTGGGCATCATCAGATAGGGTCGAGCTTAACGTTAGGGGGTTCAAACTTGTGCTTAGACGGAGATTGGACCAAATTTCAAAATTTGAAAGCGCCGCAGCGCGAAAGCTGAATAAATGTTTTTTTCACGTGTTGCTACCACATTAGGATGGAAGAGTCGGCAAAGAGTCGACACTATCCGTCGATTTCAATGCTTCAAGAGTTGTTGTGGCAGGTAATGGTGAGATTTTGTACAGATAAGTTCAGAGGAATTTAGCTGCGATACAGATATTGGGTATTGCACGTTACAATCTTAGCATATGAACTGTTCAAATTTGCGTTATATTGGCATACACAGATTGAATGTAAGTGGCAGTGGATGCGCTACGTAAATCTATGGGCATTCATAAAGCTAGATGAGTATTCAGAAGTATAGACCGGTGACGTGAGGTCTAGACTATCAGCGTACCAATGGATATCAGTTGAGTAAAGAGGTGAGGTTATACGTAGACGGACCGTCGAATTGGTTGTGTTAGACGAAACGGAATGGTGTGATCCGGAGGAATGGAAATATGTGATACGGACTCTATTATTCTATTCATTCACGTGGACAGTATACAGCTCATCAAATGCGATCACATGAATATTGCTTACACGTGAGATATGCTAAATGAGGCGTTATTTGCATAGTTATCCAATGGTACGGATTGGCAAATACACACTGAATGTGGTGATGAGACGAATTATGCATGAACAGGAAAGAGGCTTAGTGAAGAAAAGTTATGAGCCATCCATCTAATCTTCGAAATGTGGGCTGAGCTCCAGAAATCAGATTCGTTAAAATCAACAGTGCTGACTGAATATGAATTTATGAGGAATACCTGAAATTATCAACTGCAACACAAATTACAACAAAACAACCTCAGTAGACGGGTGATCAGATAGAAATTGGTTGTGTGATAGATAAGTAGAATGTTGTTGAAAATGCTGAGCTTAATGATTGTGATTTAATTAACACANTGATAATAAGAACCAAAATAGGATTTATGCACAACATATCCGTTCCACTAAATCACAAGAAATACATTCTGAGTAGTCGCTGGTTTAATGAAAACTTGGTGTAGGAAGGTGTTTTGGTTTGAATTGAATTTTACAGATGCTCACAATAAGAGACGCACACAATTGACTAGCAGCATAAAGATGGTAACCCCTGGTAATCTGTAGAGGTATAGTAATATACGAATGAGCGGCACTGCAACAGTTCAGATGGCCTTAAGGAAATACCTACCTCTCGTCATGTAAGGAGAATTGCTTCTACGATCGTTGCATACACTCGCTGTGGACAAATAATTATGTGATTAGGTGAACACATATATTCGAACCAAATTATTTGACTGAATTCTCCTCTATGCGTCTCATTCGGAAGGGAGCTATCAATTTATTAACATCATCAGTCTTATCAACTACATTCGATATTCCGAGATTAGTGATCACAAACACAATGAGAACATCACGAAGGATCGATCGGTTTTATTTGTGTGGAATGCAGAGTTGGCATACATTGGGTTGATGCGCTTATAGAAAAACATTGACGAAGTGAAATGACTGAATGGCATCAATAAATGAATATTTGCTCAAGGAGCAGGTGCTTCACAAGCTCACATATCAAACAGTTTGTCGTTTTGACTGCGTATACTGAATGAGGTGGCTAATAAACGGTTTTGGTTGGAGTGCGCTTACTTTGTTGTTGCTGACAACTTCTGAAACTCATGCGCTTATTATCTTCACTCATCTCAGGTTGTGAGCAAATCCGCTAAATNAGCCTTTGAGACTAGGCATGAGCCTTATTCAAGCGAATATTCGCTTAATTTTCTGTGTTGAATTTCCTGTTCTATTACGAATACTTTCTCATCGTGTAACATTTGGTGGACATTTTTTCTGTGAACAAATACGCAAGTTCGTTATCGTGTTGCTCATAATTGTGTGGATGAATCTGATTAAACCGTTTGAAAATATTATCGTTTGACTATGTGGAATCAGGGATGTTTTCAAAACTAGAAATCGCTCTCAGAATCGATTGAGGTGGAAGAATTGGTTATCATGAAAGGTTGAACTTGAGGCTTGCCTTGTTGCATGAACGATTTGTACTAGTTAGGAGCAGCATGATGAGGCATTGTCTTGATTAGCGCTTTATCGCAATATCACAGCTATTGCTTATGTTAGACACCAAAATTGTTGAGAAACCAAAAGCGAGATTTTTGTCATTTGACAGCTTTGAATGCGTGATGTTCTGTGATAATTCGTCTCTCGTGGTTATGCCATCATGCAGTTTGAAATCTACTCAAATGATAGATTTTTGGAACGATCTTATAAAGAATTCCATTGACCATATTATCACACAGTCGATTCAGTTACTTAATCCGTTCCAAATGAGTCATTGTTATCTTCCTGCTTTCTACAAGAAATACAGTAAAAACAGTAACAAAACTAATGCTAACATCAATAAGATGTTATCCATCAATTCTCGTGTAAGGAAATAATTAATACTCTATAACAGTGGTTCAGAAAGTAGAAATTTCCGCTCCTCCACCCTAAGAGATCCTTAGGATACAAAGTGGAATTGGAGAGTTTTCAACGGATTCTATTTGCACGATTGTTCATACTTATTCAAAAATGTGTTCGAAATTCTATTTGCTGATGGAAAATTGATAGGTTCGGTACATCTAACGAATTCATGGCAGCAAATTTCTCAACAAATGAATAAATTCTTGATTTCTCGCTGAGTAGTAATAGAATTCAAAAACAGGAGGAAGTACGGTTAAACAGATTGCTTCATGAGAGAAGGAGGGAATAGCAATGCGCCATGAGGAGCATGAAGAGTATGAAAGTGAGAAGCACTGATCTATAATAATTGTTGCTTTTGATGGAGATGCTGATGTGCTGATGGATGAGAGTGACCAACGAGAATACTTCAGGAACCGATGTGTTCCTGTACGATTTTGTTTATTTTGTGGAAGAGGTATCGTCGTGAACCATCTTCGAACAACTCCGATGATTGTTGTCCAATTTGGTCATTCCTTTCGCGAGATCAGAAACAGAACTTTACAACACCGTAAGATCTTCTATATATCTCACTTGAATTCATCAGCACATCGTTATCGCATCGCGTCCGACATGAATGCAAATGAGCCAGCGGAATTTGTTGATTAACGCATCGAACCCGTATGGTTTGGACTATTTTTATTGAAGCTTTTCAAAAAACGCAGCGAAATTTGATATCTCATCAGATGCTTATCAACTTGTGACGTTCATGATTGTTATGTGAGAGTTGATCGTTTTACATTTGATTGTTGAACAAACGAACGAATTTCTAAGAAGGATCGTTTCAGAATGCCGCCACCACAGGTGTTCGATCAAAATGATCCGAAGTACCAAACTTGTTGCGCGATGATACACTTAAAGGTTGTTTTCTGATACTGCATCAATCCTCGAACTTACAGTTCATAGCATCCAGATGAATTTTTATTGAAATGCTTTCTTAAAGCTCAAGCGATCACTAAATCTGCCCTGATAATAAGCAGAAATCTCATACGTTCATCATAAATTGTCAGCTTTGAATTGATAAGACCCGAAAGTTAAGCAAAAGCTCACACTGTTCCCAATACCACTGACAATTGAATTGGAACAGTTCCTCTAGAAGTAGATGCATTTCGTTGTTCAAGTTCGATTTGAACTCGAACATAAGACCGAATGCTCAACGATCGATAACTTACAGTGATTTTGACAACGTGGATTAATGCAAATTTAAGATCACTGTATTTTGTATTGATAGTTTCGGTACAAGAACTGATGTGTCATGTACCAATGCTGTACATTCTACAATACAAAACCTACACCTTAGGTCCCCCAATAAACGACTGAAGTACCGAATTGAGTTTAACGCATCGTGAACCAAAAAATGTCAATTAAGATCGCTGCACGTATGGTTTCACTGGCGTGTATCGGTGTAGCGGTGTGCAACGTAATACTCGCAACGACACGAGGCAGTGCTATTGCGGTCTATTCGTGGACATCGTTCGCATTTGCAATGGCCATATTTGGTTGTCTTGTTTACGGGGTTTTCAAAGAGAAACGTGATTTTATCCTGCCGTACCTTATTTTTCAGGTTAATTTTGTTATTTGTACCCCAATTCACCTATGAAACTTCCAAATTATTGCATTCCTGAACTATATCATATATAATCACTGTCAAAGAGCAACAACAAAAACGAAGATTGAGATTTTCGAAAGTTACTCTTACGATCAGTTAATAAATTCATATAAATCTTACATTAAATTTCGGAGACAGTGCGTTCGTGTAGGATTGTACGAATACATTTAATTATCACTTATACGATACTAATCAAAGATGTATGAATCAGGTGGTCGCGATTCTGTTGACCGTTTTATCGACAGTCGTGTTCATAGTTGGACTTGCGATATCAAGCAAAATGCTGCCCGAATTGGCTGAAGAGATGGCTGGAATTGATACTAATATCAGCACAAATCCAAACGCTATCAGCGGTCTGTTGAATAATTTCTTATCCATATCAAAATTTCGAAAATCAAATAACACCATTGTTATCGGAACTGGCATCCAGGCAAGAAATTATTGTCTCCTCCTCAGAAAAATTGCCTTTTGAATTAGCTGAGAGCTGAAAAATAACAATCTTCGTGCAATTGGCTGAGAGCTGAGAAGGAAAGGTTTTTTAGAGGAAACCTAGTAAGAGGGCAGGCAAGTCTTCAAGAGACGCTTGGTCTGGAACGTGAAACCATCAGAAATGTGCAAATTTAAAGTGCAATTGCAATAATTTTCAGATCTTCAAGCATTCACGATACTCATTGTGTTGTTACAATGCACGACGCTGCTCATGGAAGTTTGGTCATTGGATATCGTTTATCGTTTCCGTGAATTCCTCAAAGATCGCGAGAATTCGTTTACGTTCAATCTGGAAAGTGTTTTTCAAACACCGCACACCATTTACGGTGCAAGTGTTGATGAATTGGAGGTTGTTAATGATTTGGATGGCTTCAAGTAGTAATTCGACTCAGTTTTCATGACAATCCGTCCTACTGGAAACAAACGAAAACAAATAATCGAACGACAAACAATTCAGCTGAAAGGATTTAAATAAAACCGACTCGATGATTGTGCATTCATATTGGGGAAACAATAATAAAATTGGGTTGTACTATAGAAACACGCACGCTTATGGTGTTATCTTTCATTTGTTATTCATGCCGCTCACTTATTCGCATCCTCTTTTATCTTTAGAATAAAATTCTTTTTTGGTGGACCAATCCTATCCATCAGAGTTCATATTCGCTTTCGTATAGTATTCCAACGTTACACATTTGAAAATCAGCGAATTTCTCCTGGAACGGATTGTGGAGAAAGCAATTGATATGAAAGCACAGTATGTGAAAGCTCAGTCCGGTTACTCATAATTCGGGTGACTTCACTGACTGCTGTAAATGTTCATCTCTGAAAACTTTTGATGTATCGCTCTGAAATGAATTCTTTCTGAAAGACCAATTCTTGCTATTCACAGTGTGTATATACCAGCTGTGCTATCGATATTTTATTTATACAAACATCTCTTGTTATCCGAATATGTATCAGTGATGAATGGCAGTGAAGTAAAGCGATACATTATACCATATTTCCTTACAATATTCACATTTCCGTTAGGAAAACTTGAAAAATCAATAGCCANGGGGTTCTCAATCAAGAAAACGCAGTACGCAGGCATAATTACGCTCTATTTGACGAACGTTTTCATTGAATGTTGTTCACTATGAGTTTTGTTGGTGGTGGAACAGCTCTTCTCAGAGGCACTTTCAATGAGGTCTGGCATTGAGGCGTTACGCGTTTCTGGCAGAATCATATAACCGGAGAGCAGGGAGATGAAGACGACAACTGTTGTGACAGTAACTGCCGCCTGAGACCATACCAAATGATTCACTGTGATAAGCTGCGGTGCAAGTCCTCCACCGATTCGCTCGACCACACCAAACACCCCAACTGCCATCGCTCGAATAACTGTTGGATACAGCTCTAAACCAGACATTCGATTGATCATTAATGTTTCATCAATAAATACAGTCTTGTTGATCAATATTGCTGCATATAATTTCAATTGACGAATATTATTGAGTGAATAAATAAATATCGTTAAAAAATGCAAGTTTGATTCAATAAAACGATTTTGAATTAATCATCAATGTAATCAGTCCAGATTTCGATACGTCATTGACAGTGTTCTGAATTTGAATCACCGTGAATAATACTAAT